AGGCAGATTTTCCCTAAGCAGCAAATAAAATCAATATACTTTCAGATGGTATCAAAGACTCAGGTCTGAATTCTCTTCTGCATTGCATGTGGTAGTTGATGTCTGTCCTAGAGGGAGCTGGTGGGGATTTAGTCTGTTTGACTGTTTGGGCTGTTGGCTTGTCTTGGTTCACAGAGGCTAGATTTTGGTTACACTTCAAAGACAGATTCCTGACAACTCTCATGTGAGCTGCCATTATGTGGCCTGTGACGGATCTTTAGTCCCTGAAAGAGCTAGGGCACAGCTCAGCCAGACCTTCTCCCTTCTGCACACACACAACTTCTCCTCTCCACAGTCCCTCCCACAGGAACTACACAAGCAGCCCACAGCACATCTCTGGTATAGGCACAACAGCATAACATCCTCATCCAATAGAAGTCCCTACTCACTACTGGCATGCAGATTTGACATCCTGACACCATTTACCATGGCACAAGGGATCCTTAAAAAAGAGGTGAAAAACGGCCCATCTCCAAACATGCCAACTTTCCGTGCTTCCTCTCTGAGACTGGCAAGTATATCCAAACCCAAACAAGTGCAAAATCCAGAGAAAGGGAACACTGCTGTTTTAAGGCAACTGACTCTCACCTCTCTGATGACAAAGCTGCACAAGAAGGTCCTCTCTGTTCCCAGCATGGGTGTCAAGGACGCAGAAGGACAGGCTAATGGAGAGTGCTGGCCCACCCGCTTCTTGCATGGCTTCAGGTTGATCTCTTGCATCTCTGAATACAGCAGATGTCTGAATTCTCCGCTTCAGCTTTTTAACTCTGCATATATAAATTAAAAACTTTTAAAACCCCAGCACATAGCAATTAGCCACCAGTACAAACTATGTACTTATAGATCACAATTTTAGTCCTTTCTATGGCCTTTGTAGGCACTTTTTTTCATTTCGGAAATCAGAATGATTTATTTCACATAAAATTCCTCAAACACAGAAGGCATTTGGTGTGAACTTCTGAAAGAGCTGTTTGTTACCATGCAGCCTCAGTCAGAGAAAGCATGCTACCAGAATGAAATCACTCAAGATTACATTTTGATGGAGTGCTTTGTACTTTGCTTTCCTTTGGAGAAAATGTTTATATTTTAATAAATCCTGATGAGGAAAAGGTTTTGCTACTGGGGAAAGTGTCTTTGAAGACATCCTGACACTTCTTTTTTTTTTTGGTTGTCTTCCATTCTCTTTTCCAAGTGTGACAACTTTTTCCAAAAGCAAATGACTCCATTTCTGTAGAGCTGGTTGCCTCTCATTTGGAAGAGCTCTAGGAACAGTAATTACTGTCTGCCCCTACGTTCTATCTTCTTTTGCTGCATGCATCAGGTAGCTAATCCCACACTAGATACCTGAACTGTAACCGAATTGCAGCACAGATCTCACTCAAGGCTAGCTAGTTGCAGCTATATGAGACATCCTGTTCCAGCTCGGGAAACACACTAGGTTTGTTCCTTACTCTCGCTATTGATGTGCCTGTGGAAAAATTGCTCGAGAAAGGGAAAATTGAGAAAAACCAGGGCCTAACAGAAGTTATGGCATTACAGAGGCTTACTTGAGGTAAGAGACAGCTTCCACCTCCAGGATGGCTAGTATGTACAGAATCTACTCCTCCACAATTCCCTCGGCAACACAATCTGCCCTGCTAGCACATGCTAATAAGAGTACACGGAGAGTGGAGCAGAATGGAGACACCACGGCCAAACTTTGTTGGATTCCCTGCAAAGGTAGTAATCTGATGGTGCTGTGCAGCTGATGAGTGAATGGAGGGGTGTATCGGAGCAAAGACACCGCGGCCAGATTCTGTTGGACTCCCTGCAAAGGTGGTGACCCGGTCGTGCCATGCACCTAATAAATCACATAGTATGAGAAGATGTCTGGTGCTGGGCCAACAATGGTGGCAGATACCAACACACACCTCCATCCCAAAAGCTATCTGCCTCCAAGGTGCAACACTCCTCACTGAGCATGCTCTCTTGATTTTTTGATTGGCTTGAGAGACTTTTTAACCAATCAATAACAAAAGTAAGTATGACTAGAGTCATTCAAGCTCCACCTAACTGTAAAATATATATATATATATATAAGGTGAACTAAGGAGGGAAGAAGTTAGAGGGAAGACTCCATCGTAACTTCTGGATTGATCGAGGAGCTGAACGCTTTTCCTCTCCTTAGGTGGGGACACTGCCTGAGGAGACTCCTTGAGGTTGAGATCCCTTTCGCATCTTCTTGGGAGAATTGCACATTTGTACATGAGAGCTAGCAAAGAACCCCATGCTGCAGTAGAGAATTTCCTGTACAGACACCTGAAACCTGCTTTGTAAATGTTGCATTTGAATAAATCATGCTATTCATGAACTCAACTACTTGTTTTGAAGGCAATCAGACCTACGGTCAACAGACCGTTTGTAAATTCAGCTCCCAGAGTCAGGCCTATAGTCACCACAGTATTCGGTACCTCTATTAAGTGATGAGTCCAGCCATCCCCAGTCCCTCTAATCTCTTAGGATTAGCTGAGGGATTCATCTCTTACTAAATTTCCCCCCCTTCAAATTGCAACAGTGCCACAAAAAGGGAACTTGCAAAAACTGAAGTATCACCACTACCATCAGGAATGGGGTTCAGGCAGCCTCACACTGCTTATCTGAAGTTTGCTACCTTTAGCT